GCAGCTGTCTCCAACTATTGAGGTCAGTTTAGGTTTTTTACGCTGTTGAATCAAAAACAGCACATGAGACAGTGGACCAGAAGACACCAGCGAGGTTGAACACTAACCTGGAAACTTGAAAATATACCTCATAAAGCACAAAAATATGTTTTTTTAACATAAGAAATGGAATATAATACACAGATTGTGTTAGATGATAAATAAGCTCCCAGCAAAAGCTCAATTTAAAAGAAAAAAGAGAGAAAAGAGTGAGAGATACTAACACTGGTATGATTCACAGAGACAAGTCCACTTTGAAGAATTCAATAAAGTGAGTTTTTCTTTCACCTGATGCCAACCTACATTGGGGAGTTTGAACACGGCAAAGGTCAACATCCGCAGTATAACTGAACCGCACTTGATTCAGGCAATTTTTCGTCTCAGTGCTCAGTCAATCCTCAGAACTGTCCGAAACTCAGAGCAGACTTCACACATTCCCCACGATCTAAATCTGTGAAGATTAACTGCTCTCTTAAAGCTATCCTGTCAGCTCGAATTAAGCTAATGCAAAGATGATGGGATAGCAGCGTAAGTAAAAAGTTGGCTTTGACTATATTATCGATGTGATGTGATTCTTGTAAAGAATATAACACCCTGACAGTCTCGGCTCTCAACTCAACTGTACGAACATGTTATAAAAGCATTGGTCTCTTTCATTTGTGGTAAATACTCGCTCGATGAGACGGCTAAAGAAGTGCTTTTCTAAGTATTGAGGTTAAATTTGTAGAAATGGGATTATTTAACAATCTCAAGAAGCAAAAGTTTGCCGTAGTTTGAAAGGCTGTCTTGCTCACCCCTCCTGTCAGTGAAGCAACAAAAGCTTTTGAGGACAAGAAGCTCTTGTGATGCATGGTAAATGTGATCCTCCATTTACACATTTCACATTTGTGCTATCAAAAACTGCAGTATAAATCCTTGTGTGCAGAAAAATGACCAATCTTCTTCTTCTTCTTCTTCTTCTTCTTCTTCCAAAACCACCTCATGCTTTGATACTTGCATCTATTAAAAAACAACCGTGTTGAATCTTAAAATACTATAAACAATAAAGCCTGAAATAAAACCCAACAATACAGATCACCAGCCACTCCTTTTATGATAGACTATGATTGAGCTGTAGCTTCAAACTCTAGAGTAAAATCTGGTGAAAAATAGTCTTTTACAGTTTTCCTCTCACTCTCTCTCTTTTAATCTCTCTCTCTCTCTCTCTCTGCCTCTCTCTTTTCTCACACACAAACACACACACACACACACTCGGAGAAGGCACGCACCCACTCCTCTTCATGGCTCATTAATCAACGACACATTATCAGGAAAGTGGCACCTTCATGATTACAATGTTGGGGAACTTTTTAATATGAGTTAAGTTGGACAGGATATGCAAATTAGGAGCCTTACCTCACAGTGCAATGATGTTATTTATAAGACTACTTAAGTTAGACATTTACGCCTCCTGGTAAAGAATTAGAGGCATGGTTACACAACTGAACAACCTGAGATTCATAATCTGAACAACCTCAGCTTCATATAAGAAAAAAAAGTTTCACAGTGATGACTGCATTCAGGGCAGAAGAGCTGAATGCTGATTCAGGACTGTTCCAGGGACCCAAGTGATTTATGCTGCTAGACAGTGTGATGGAAAGTACTGCTACAACTTATTAAAACATTAAAATTTCTTACAATTTGAAAAGATTATTTTGTAATCTGTCATCAATCTAAGAAAGAAAGAAAAAATGATAAAGAAAGAAAAACAAAAAGCATGAAGGAATAAAGAGAGTGAAATACCTTTACAATAAAACAGCGACTAAAACATTATAGTGGCCTAATTTCTCAAAGAAGTTTAATAGTTATTAGAAGTTTCAGATCTAAGTGTCCAGGAGATTCATTAAAGTCGAAGTTGATTTAAGTTTTTGAACTTTAGAGAGACTGCCATACAGACAGAAGAATAATCTTAAATCTACAAATGTGTATGAGGGTCTGAAATGTCGGATTTAAGATTTTGTAAAACTTTTACAAGTTTGTATTGATATAAATGTTAATTTCTGGAAGTTTCCAAAACTTTTCCTCAATATATGTTATAAACGTCCACTTAACAAAAAAGATTCCAAAATGTCCTCACATATTCCTTCACTTCACTAGTACTTTATTCAAATTCTTATTCAGAAGAAGAAAAGTTTCAAAAAAGAAAAAAAACAAAATTCTCAAGACTTTACAAAATTTTCCTGAAAGCTTTTAAGTTTCCTAAAAAAATGTCAGTGACAATCCATCAAAGTTTCAGAAAACATTGATGTTTTCACAAACATTGATAGACTTTCATAAGAATTACAGAATATACCAAAATATTCTGTCAAATATCCTTAGATAGTCCATGAATATAAATTTTTTATTGAAGTTATTTAAAAGTTCAACTCATTTCCAAAAACTCCTGAAAATTAACCAAAAATGTCCATTTTGGAAACTCTACCTTACTTTGGAAATGTTATTATGAGAAGTCTTTGAAAATTTCTTTGAGGAGGCAAACTTGACGTTAAACTTTCAGCAGTCAGCCTCTCTTACAGAACTTGGAGATGGAGTCTTAAACATCATTTATGAGTTGACTTATAACATTTTGATGCTTTGAAAAAATAGCATGAATAATAATTACAAACTTTCTGGCCTGAAGATTCTGTGTCAAACTCCCTGCCTTGGCCAAAGAGTGGGGGCTGACTTGAGGGGGTAAAAGAAGACAAAAAGATTCTAGGATGGAAGGAAGGAAGGAAGGAAGGAATAGAGTGGGTAAAGAAAGAAAGAAAGAAAGAAAGAAAGAAAGAAAGAAAGAAAGAAAGAATCCTGCCACGATTGCAGTCCCTTTGTCCTAAACTAGGAAAGCATCTCCTCCCTCACTTGCTCCACTTCAGAGCATCTTTGCTTCCCCACATCTGTCCAAGAAGAAAAAAGAGGAGACTCTTTTAATCTTTAAACGCTAAACAAGCATGAACTCCTGCCGTCGCCTTCATTTTCCGTCTAAAAGCATATACTAGTGCGCCTAAATATTTTATCATAGGCGCCCGATAACACTGGGTAACGCAGTGGATAATGAAAAGGTATACACACCGAGGGGGGAGGGAGCGGAGGGATGTGGGCAGTGTAGTTTAGTGAACGTGTAGATCAGACTTTAACGCTGTTTTCCAACCTCTGTCTCCACGTACACAAGGTAAGAGAGGTCCATGCAAAGAGCAATAAAAGAAATAAGCTGAGAGGCCTTGGTTGAAAAAAACAAAACATCCCCGTGGGAAAGTGAAAACCACTTATGTGTATGTGTGTGTGTGAGAGAGAGAGAGCACGTGTGTGTGTTTCAGGGGTGCTCCCACACCCCTCAAAATCAACGTGTCATCACTTTCTGGTGTTTTCGTCCACTGGGTGTGATGTTGAAGATAAATTGGGTCCCGCCCTGCCTTAATGCACTGTGTGTCACATTAACCTCAATGAATTAAAAAGAAAAACTCATTTATTTAGACAGACTGGAGCTCTATGTGGAGGTGTGAGTGGGTGAGTGAGTAAGTGTTCAGACGGGTGGTTAATGTTATAGTGGCATGAGAGTTAATGCAAATTAAAAGGCACGGGCTGAACCTTTTTGGACTCCAAAACACTCACACATTTACATACACGCATGCTTCTCCACGCCCCCTGTTCACGACGTTAATACGGCCATTTGCTCGGATCCCCTGTAATTCAATTTGACCAGATGAATGAGGGCACAGACAGTTTGTACAGCCCGTCCTCCCTCACTAACACACCCTCTTTCCCAAGTTTTTTCTTTCTTTTTTTTTTCTTTTTAAGAAGCAAAAGCAAAGTTATAGTCTACTTAAAGCAAAGCACAACTTCTCCACCTTCATCCCTGTTTATTACTTCTTTCATCTGTAAATGAAAGCGAGCAATTATTGCAAGGTGCCGTTATCATATTATTATGTTGGCCCCGGTCCCCTAGATAGTCATCAATCACTCTCAATCGACCTGTCACCGGCAGGCACAGATCCAGCTGGAGAGAGAGAGAGAGAGAAGGGGGAGAGGGAGGGGGGTGAAGAAAGAGGAGGAGAAGGAGGAGGAGGAGTACATCATCATTAATTTGAGGAGTGACCCCCGGGGCAATCCACATGTCTCAACCCGGGATTCTCCAAGCAAGGCGGCGCGCGTACAGCGCTCGTGCAAGAGTTGTTTGAGGGTTTTGGGATGTTTTGGTCACTGCAGGTTGACACCACGTGAAGGAAGAGAAATAGATAAGATTAGGTAACACCAGATAGAGAGAAAAATAGATAGATAGATAGATAGATAGATAGATAGATAGATAGATAGATAGATAGATAGATAGATAGATAATCTAATCTAAATCCAGTATTTTTTTTAAAAAACAATGCCACTGTAGTGTAAAAAGACAAAAATACTTTTGCACTTGACGTTTTTTTAAGCAGGTAATTTTTAAAAAACATTAAATAAAAATAACTGATTGGTTAAATGCTTTTATGGTCTACCCCAACGTGTCTCTGCACTGAGTAAAATATTCTTTACTAATTAATTTAAAATCAATTAGTTCCCCCTGTGATTAGCATCAGTGCAGCGCAATGATAAGAATGTGCTTAATTAGGCCTAATGCATTTTAACTGATACATACGTTTGCATATTCAAGACACTGATTGGCCTAATTGATTGATTAGGGCTGCAATTAATTTTCTACATCTCTTTTTCTTTTTTTTGAGTGTGTGTGTATTTCTTGAATGTCCCCCCCAACTCCCTTGCCCCCACCCCCCCTCCAAGGCTGTCTTGCTGGATGTCTGTTTTTGTCGTCATCCTGGGAAAGAAAATGCATATTAAAGTTACAGTCTGGTCATTTTTAGAGTGGGAAACTTCTGACGTCAGAGTCACCGCCGTTTAAAACAACCTGCCTCAGCAGCTGACGTCTTTTATACTACTTTTTTATAAGGCAAAAATATGTATCTGACAACAAAGTGGTATTTCAGGCTAAGAAAGTATGTGTTAGTGTAATTCGTTTTCCTTTTCGTATCGACTTTTTTTTTAAAGATAAAAAGGAGAGCAAGCTATTTTCCTCCTATTTAATTTTTTCCCCCCGTTGAAAGGCGTTTGAGTGGGGGGCATTTTGCACAAATTAAACATGCTACTCTGCTTCGCCCTATAAGCATCCTAGGAGTCTGTGCTTACCAATCAATTGGTACAGTCAAACAGAGCCGCAGCCTGCGCGAGAGTGGAGACCTTCAGTCTCTCTTTATTTCTGGATATTGGGGGACCTCTCTACCATGTCATATCCACAATTCGGATATCCATATTCGTCTGCTCCACAAGTAAGTTCATGTCTTTTTCATTTAATAGCTTGTTTAAGTTTTGACACTGTTGCGATTGATTATCTCATCGATTTGAGCGCGATCCTTTTACGCGTTTTGGCCAACAATCAGAGCTGTCACAGAGCTGTCGGCTATCGGGGAAGTATTTCATTACAGACAGGGATACCTGAGTTTTTTGCAGCGATATATAGAAAGAAGGTAAGGAGAGGGTAACCCAAAGAGACAGCGAGACCCCCGACCTCCCATTCACTGATTTCTGCAAGATAATAGCCGCTCCGTAATGTCAACCATATGTTTATCTGCGACAGAACACGCACGCCAACTTGTTCTTCACGCGCTGTGTGTGTTTTTGCGTTGTAACCCAGCTGCTGTTTTGTTCTGGCTTTGAGCCATAAAAAATCATTTGGGCATTACTTTGGGTATGACTCGGCGTATGACATGCGTTATCTGTTTGTTTCATTTGGATCACAGCTCACAGACGGGTCGTTTTGGGCACGTTTTACGCGCATATCATCACAAAGATTTGAGACATCATTCATCACCAAATATCAGCTTTTCATCATCATCATTTTTCTGTCGCTGTTTTAATGCTTTTAAGGCGCAAATTACTAAATTGAGTGCGAATGAAAAGCAGTCAGATTAAAAGTAGAGGAGGTAAAATTTGTCAAACTTTTGGCTTGATTGTTTTTTTTTACTCAGACGAGCGAAACAATTTTGGAAACAGGTAAAATCATCTTCATTCTATTGACAGGATTTTCTTGTATAATTGAAAAAAAAAGTTTGTTGCCAACTTAGTGTTCAAAGTTAAGGGCTTGCATTAGATCTTAAATCTATCAGAATTTTAAAAATAGAGAGCATGTCAATGGTTTTCTGAAAGACAAACTCCCTCTCGGTCTTCTCCCAGTTCCTGATGACAACCAACTCTCTGACCACTTGCTGCGAGTCCACCGGCAGATCCATAGCCGACTCCGGGGTAGCAGCGTCCGGACAGACTCCAGTCTACTGTCCCGTGTACGAGAGCCGGCTGCTGGCCACGGCGAGGCACGAGCTCAGCTCAGCTGCCGCACTGGGCGTGTACGGGAGCCCCTACACCGGCGGTCAAGGCTATGGGAATTACGTTACATACGGCACGGACGCCTCGGCTTTCTACTCGCTGGTAAGCCCTTCATCTGATCCCTCTTGGCATTGATTAATGGAGCCGCAGGGTGCTGAGAGGCGAGCCAGGCACACCTCTTCCTTTTCCTACACCTTACATCGCTGTACCTGCTTTCACTGCTCATGTTTTTGTACCAGTATCATCTTGCAGCTCAACTTTTCTTAGGAAATTACACAAGAAGGTTTGAGACAAGAATTTGTCTCTACGTTTATTGTCAGAGTTTGCCCCAAGGATGAATATTTGAAAGCAACGATTCACTGTTTGAAAGGAGTCTGCATTTGGGGACTCAGAATTTTATAAAACTGTCATTTTGTGTTTTTAAAAAAATATATCTCACATATTTTCATTAGTAACTCCAAAAATGTCTAGGCCAAAAAAGACCAGGAATAGAGCCTATTCAAGGAGATTAACTGTTTAAACAATGATGCTTTCATTTCTTTTCTTTTCTTCTTTCTTGGCTACATGGTGTTGTGAAGGATTTGGACTTTGAATTTTATGATTTTCCACTAAATAATCTAATCTGCTGTTATTTGTTGTAATGAGCCCAAAACTGTCAGATAGATTTCTCTACAAAGATCCTTTCAGTGGGGAAAAAACAAACAAACAAACAAAAAAAAAACTTCTGACTCATCTGTGTCCTTTTGTTTCCTTGAGTTTATTTTTGTGAAATCTCATTTAGTCTACATTTAAAGTTTATAAATATAAATGTAAAGACTGCTGTATGAAACTGACAGTGGCATTCATTCAACAGAAAATCAATGTAATAGGAATAAGAATAAGAAGAACTTTATTGATCCCTGAAGGGAAATTAAATTGTCTGTACATTTTTAAATTTGCAAGACGTTTCAGTGTTTCAATCTCAGATTAACTTCTAAAAAAACTGCTCAAACTTTCACAGGAATACATCTCAAACTGATACACATAAACAGGCAAACAGGTTTTCTCTTTAATCACTCAGTGGATGTTTGTCTGTTTCTTAAATTGCAGGGTACATTTGATACTAAAGATGCCACAGCTTCTGCACATGCGGGAATAACGCAGGCGACAGCCTACTATCCTTATGATCCCACCTTAGGACAGTACCAATATGACAGGTAAGTTATCGCGATAATGAAGTGACTTATGTTGATGTTTTTGAGCGTAAACCGCAGCCATATTAGAGGGACATTTTTTTGTTCCATTGGCTAGAAAAGTTCCTGCAAAGTTAAACTCTACTGTCCCATAAGTTTGCATGTATATGTTGGCTGTTCAAGAGCGGCTAAAACTGGATGATATCCAAATTTGAGCGACCAGTAACACTCAGATTCAGCACATTATGCAGAAGATTAGTTTGAGTTTTATTGGCGTTAGATCAATCATCGCTGAGAGGCCATTCTCATCACACCTCACAGCAGCAGGTGATCACCTTCATCTCCTGACACATTTCTCTCCTGATGAGCTCATGTTTGGCTCAGCAGACACATGCCCCCTTTCAGAGAGACATGAGGCCTTTTCAGTGCTGTGAAGAGTTCGCCTGCCATATCGAAAGGTCTTCCCAATAATGAGATGACACCCTAATGAAGTGTATGATGTGGTGAAAACGTAGGCCCTGAATGACAACTATACCTGATAGTTTACTGCAGTCAGAGCTCTCTTTGCACAGACAGCAGCTTTAGAAGTGAATGCAGTCTTTTAATGTTAACTCTGAACTGAGCAGCAATGTGTCAAATTGATTACCTTTACAGCACAATGAGAGTTCATGTAACCTAAACGCAAAAGCCAGATTCTTTTTCCAATCACTCTTAATTCAGTGAAAAGTGCAGAAGGAGTCAGCATAATAAGTGCAAATACAGCAAAAGGCCTCAGTCCAAGGCAAAACCAGATGAGGAGAACAAGCAGGCCTATTCTGCTTCTGCTCTTCTCTTACCTGAGGGCTCATCATTACACCCAATAAAGCAATTTTACAGTCTGTTTTATCTGTGAGGGTATGGAGAGGTGCAGTGCTCGTCTGCTTTTGATTCCCTTAGCAGTGCTTGACCTGCGCTAAGCTATACGGAGCAATAAAGGCCTCATAAAAGCCTCCCCTGAGAGGACTTTTACAGCTCACTGCTGACTGAAGATCAACACTCTGCATTTTAAATGGAGCTCTACAGCTGATATTTATGGGAGAGGAGATGGTAGGGAGGCAGATGTAGGCTGCGTTTTGAATGACTTAAATAGGCGATACATTGATATTGTAAAATGTATGAGCATGTTGTCATAATACAGTTAGTATTATAGTTAGTATATTAGTTAGTATATTTCAGTAGGACACTGGTAGCAGATTTATTTTGGATACCAGTGGCAGGCCCTGGAAAAGGGTCTGTGGGAACTTTTGTGAAAACAGTCGCTTCTGCCTTTATCTCATGCTGTGGAAAACAGGGTTTTTGCATGTCTCATGTTTTTACAAAAATCACTTTTTATTATTTTCTATCAAAAATAATCATAAAGTTTCCAAAAGGATTAACAATGCATACTGAAGGGGAGGTAAAAAAGCCTTCCCTGCTTCTTTAACTGGCACTTTAGAAATGCTTACTTCTTATTTTGAATGTTTTACTCCTTTGCAAAAGGCAGAGTGTTAAAATCACTCTCTTAAAGCACATTTTGCAAACATGTAAAAGGACTTTATGCGACTGACTGCTCTGTCATGGTCTCCAGGACTGAGCAGTCTGTGGCAGCGTATTCAATATTGTAATGAAACAAGCCTCACATACAGTGTTTTTACACGCTCATCACCATCATGTTTGTCATCTCAATAACAGATACGGTTCCATGGATGGCGGTACAAGGCGGAAAAATGCTACGCGTGAGACAACCAGCACGCTGAAGGCCTGGCTGCAAGAGCACAGGAAGAACCCGTACCCGACCAAAGGAGAGAAGATCATGCTGGCCATCATCACCAAGATGACCCTGACGCAGGTGTCCACCTGGTTCGCCAATGCCAGGAGGAGGCTCAAGAAGGAGAACAAGATGACCTGGCCTCCTAGGAACAAGGGCTCAGAGGAGAAGAGATACGACGAGGATGAGGATGGGTCTCAGGAGGAGCAGATAAAGAGCGAAAACAATGAGGATGGTTAGTAAAATGTCTTGTCGCTGTGTACAAATTCAGAAACACTTTCCCGTATGCTGGGTTTTTGATCATTTTTGGTGATTCAGAAAGTTTTCAGAAGCATTTTCAGAAAGTTTATAGACTTTTTGTTAAATAAAGTTTAGTCTTTCTTATGTTTTATTTTTGGACGTATAGTTTTCAGTACAGATTGTACTATTTGTATATCAGTTTGAGCAACATTACAGATTTTTTCCTTGAACTTAACAGCTGTTCACCAAAGGGATCCGCACAAATAAAAAAAGCTCAACAGCAACTAAGAGGAAAATTAAAATCATCAAATTTTGGTGTAAAGTCTGCTTCAACTGTCAGTCTTGAAAGATCAAATGTACTTCTACCTGATGTATCATAACTAGAAAAGTAAGACTGTTAACACTCTGTCATTTATTCTTTCTCTTAGTCTAAAATTTTCTGTATCATGAGAGATTAGCTTGTTTGATCAAATCAAGCTCTCCAATGTCATGTTAACCTTAACTCTTATTTCATGAACTTTCAACAAAGTACTTTAAATGTTATCAATGTAATATATTTGTTACAATAAAGGGATGGGAGTCAGGGTTTACACTTTCTTGCATCAGTTACACACAGGCATGCTGAAGAAATGTAAACATTCAAAAGAACTTTGAAATACACAATTTCAGAAGGCCTCAGTCAGTTCTTCTGGGGGTTAAGTTGAGGGTTAAACCCCCTACATTTATTTGGGGTTGCTTTTCAGATGAGGCTGTTTTTCCCCACATCGTTTTGAGCTTAGACTGACTCAAGAGCTGTCTCACATTGAGGTGGATCAAACCCCTTTAATTACGAGTGGATTTTTCCCAATCATGATGGATCTATTTATTCGCGAAGTCACGCTGTGATCGATGTTTTAAATTCCTGTCTATGCCTGTTAACTTTTACTCTACAAGTTCAATCAACTCTCATCTTAGAGTGACTGTTCAGGAAGTTTTAATCAGATCTGATACCAAACATCTCATGACACCACCTCTCTGCTCTCGTCTTCCTCCAGAGACCAGGAGTCGGCCCGATAAGGACCTCCAGCTGAGCGACCTGGATGACTTCGACACGCTGGAGTCTGAGAGCTCAGAGTGTGAGCTTAAGCACCGCTACCACATGAACACGCACATGTCCACGACGAGCGACTGCTCCGGAGACCACCTCATCAAGGACACGTCTCTGAAAATCTCCATCCCGGTTTCCCTGGGAGGGGAGCAGGACTTGAGCAAAAGTTGCCTGAAAACGAGCCCGGAAGATTTCCAGGCGGAGAGCAGACAGCAGGTGAAGGCTTGCTACAACCAGCAGCAGCAGCAGCAGCAACCAGGGCACCAGATTTTGGACGGCAAACCGCGCATCTGGTCTTTGGCCCAAACCGCAACCTCTCTGAACCAGACTGAGTATCCATCCTGTATGCTGAGGTGCCAGCCCCCGCCACCCTCCTCCCTCACCCCTTCCCCCGCCGCTACCTCACCCGTGACCGGCTTGGACAACAGGCAGGACTCGCCGGTCACGACCCTGAGAAACTGGGTGGACGGGGTTTTCCATGACCCTCTTTTCAGGCACAGCACTTTGAGCCAGTCTCTGACCAACACCACCGTCTCTTGGACCACAAACACCAAAGGCTCTGCCATGCTGGAGGCGGAGAGGAGCGCGGCGGTCTTGCAGCAGCACCAGGACTCCTCCAAAGACAGTTTCCCCAAAAATATCAACAAACTTTTTTGCTCCTAACAAAACCAAAACGACCCTGAGACTGAGACTTTGTGACTGATGGGGAAGCCGGTTGGCTCTCAATGACCCCTTCATTATGTTTTATTCGTTTCTAAAATTAATGGTAGCTATTACATTGGCGGTACACATGTGAAATACCCAGACCAGTTTTGGCTTATTTGATTTTTACGCACGCACAAAAAGTATCGAAATGTAACTGAAAGTTTACATTTTGGAAAAAATAGGCCGAAGGTTTACATGATTTTCCTTTCCTTCCTTTCTTTCTATGCGCATGCAAATGTAAATGAATATTATTTAGCTCTCAGCAGTGGAGTATCACTATTAAAAGAAGAAAAGAAGTCTCACTAAATGCACAGCTCTCTTAGGAAGTGAGAGCGTCTCAACTTTGTTCACTGAAAATAAAAGCAGTCGGTTTCTGAAGAGCGCGTGTGAGGTTGGGTTAATACGAAGGAGGGGTGTGTGCTGTCCATGGTGCTGAAAACAGGGGGCGACTTTTCCAACCTTTCATTTTGGCACGTTTTTAACGCGTCCAAACCCTTTACAACATAGGAGGCCTCCAATCTTTTCTTGATGAAGCCTTTATTTACATTTTCAGTTCACTCTCAGTTCGTTAAAACAGGCCCAATCTCCCCCATGTGTTATTCTTTTAGAAAAAAAAAAAAACATCCACTCTCATTTAGTGACAGGGGGAAAATGAGGCAGCTCAACCCTCCAGACAGAACAATATCAGTATCTAAGATCTGCCTCATTAATTCCCTCTAAACAGGCTGTAATTGGGATGTTCGCAGTCATATTTCATGTCAGCCTATTGATTTCCCCTCTCTGATCTCTGATAATATTATCGGAACATCTCAACAGCGTCCATGATGCAGCTGTCAAAAGGGTAAGTTATTCGCCATGCGTCCATTAATGGGTTCAAAGGAAAAAAACCGAGCCCCCTCTCGTGAAATCATTTGAAGTGAGGAGTTTTCGTTTTGACACTAACCCCTCAATTTTCCTCGAGACACGGGGGCCCCCGCAAGAAAACCAGCCTGGATGCTGAAGTGGAAAAAAAAAGGTGGGGGGCTTTACGAGAAGGAGAGAGAGAAGGAGAGAGAGAGGGAGGCACTCACGTCGGCTAAAAGTGAAAAGGGCAAAGGAACTCGAATTAGTTGTTGTAGATAAAAGGGCAAAAAGAAAAGGAGTCAAGGGTACTTGACAGTAATGGCGAAAGTGGAGCTCTCGGGGGACTCAGTCTGTCCTGTGAGAGGGGGGAAAGGGAGGAAGGGAGGAGATGGGGGGCTTCAGTGATGAATTTTAATGGGAAAAGCACATCTCACCCCCCTTCTTGGACAAAGTGCTATGGTGGACAAAAGGGATTTTCTATAAATCGGAGAGGGCATGTATGTTTCTATTTGCTTTCTTAGCCTTGGCTAACGTTGCCTGAAGGAAAGCAAAAGTTCCCATGAGTGCAAAATAAACAAGAAAAATACATCTAACAGGTGCTTCATTTTAGAGTCACATTTTGATTCATATTTTCTGTATTGTGGGCGTGTTTATTGGCCCACGTGCAAAACTCTGTGTTAAATTTTTCATCGCCACTGATAGAAAAATTAGGCAAGATTTTAAGTCTCGGCAGATAAGACAATAAAGCCTCCATATTTAATTAATTTAGCATGAGGGCAGATACTTTATTCGACCTCCCCGACCAATTGGTGGCTTTTTATATGAGAGAGAGAGAGAGAGAGAGAGAGAGAGAGAGAGAGAGAGAGAGAGAGAGAGAGAGCAGCTCTAACTAAATCATTCAGCCGTGGCAAATACGAACACACAGAGGGAGCGAGATGGTAAATTAACAGGAGCTTTTTACATAGAGACCAAATAAAACTGTAATCAGCGGCGCGTTACTTTTCATTAAGCGGGGTTGACAGCAGCATATTCAGCCACTCCGACACACGGAGGGAGCAAGGTCCGGAGCTGGAATAAACTGCTCTCGAACCGAGGAGTCATAAGATAATTCCTTAAGCTCCATTAACAACTCTTAGCCGCAGGAAATGGGCTCCCCCTGAAAACATCTCCAAATCTAAAAGCTTTATCGACCTGGCAAACCTCAGCTGATGGCTTCTTTTTTTTTTTTTTCTTCAACCCCCTCTCTCTTTCTCACCCTCCCTCACTCTCTCTCTCTCACCCCCTCCCCTTCTTCAACTTAAGGGACAGAAACGTCCAACTGAGGTAATAGACTTTGACACAACACATTAAATGGGAAATGAGAAAAGGGAGAAGAAAGGGCACTCTTAAACGTCTTTTAAACGTTACCAATTAGAGGTTTAAAACTTGAATAAGATGTAGGCCTTTGGCATGTGCCTGACTGATGGGACATTTAGCTGAATACCTTCCCCGCTTGGTAAAAGCTGCACGTAAGTGAGAGTAGTGTGTAGTCTTTCTGTGAGGCAGCTGAGTCAAGGGACTCAAACAGAGGAAAAAGTCATGTGCAACATGATTTTTCTGTCCTTTTTTCTCTCCCTTTTTTGTTCCAAATTATACCCTAAAAGTAATGAGACTTCCACCATTCTTTTTTATGTTTTTAAACAAACACTTTATTAAACAGACACACAGTTTTTTGTAGTAAAAGGCCAAAAAATAAAGCTGGTGTTCACCCTCCCCAGAGAGAGAGAGAGAGAGAGAGAGAGAGAGAGAGAGAGAGTCTGGGTCAGGTTAATACCACTGTGACCCTAAGCCATAAATATATTTACACATCATTACACATCAACATACACACACTCAGAGTCTCGCTCCCCCCTCTCACAGACAGAATCACATGCACACACATGTCAGGCTTAATTGAATATTTAATCTATTCATTGACTAACATTAATAAGGTGAGAGTAGCGGTAATGTGATCAAAGCTTAAATGAAAATATGAAGCATGACCTCACACAAAGAGCACCATAGAGAGACCACACACACACACATACTTAGACACGCACACACATGCACGCACTGAAACAGAAAGAAAACTGCTGTAATGACCTGAGCACCCTTTTCCAAGAATCAATGTGATGGCCTTTTATTCCAATTAAAATAAGCACATTATTATTAGAAAAATATAAATTCTCATGTGACAATAAACAAAACAGCCTGTAGGTGTGTGATCATATCATTTCAGAAACATATTTACTTCTCTGAGGGTTAAATTACATCTAAATGTCAGTTGGTGTGACTGTTGGCATGGCTGAGCTTAACAAATGAACATATTGATAAAATGCAGAACAACAGACCAGCTAGTTGATCAGAGCAGGGGTTTATGAAGTAGTGTATTTTATAAGTTCACAAAGTAGTTTGTAGCTTTGCTGCGTCTCTTGTTATCATCCAGCAGCCACCAGGACGCCCCTTAACAGCTGTCAGGATGAGAGGCAGGATATTTCTCTGCTTCCAAATCTAAAGAGCCTCCTCTTTTTCTTCCCCCACTGCTTTGCGATATGGGTTGTGTGTGTGTGTTTGGGGTCATGTGTGAGTGTGTATTTGTGGCTGATGTGCTCAGGGCCCTTCTGCCAAAAGCACATGTCCAGGATGTGCCTTTAGGCCCCAGTGACTGGCCTCTATCAGGCCTCTATCATCGCCTCCCCGCAGCGCTCCCACAGGTCAAGAGGTTTTAGCCTGAGGGGCAGCACTTTTCACCGTCCCGGTCATCTCATTCTGACTGACTGAGCTGGAGATAGAAAAAGCTACCCATATCAAGTGGTGTTTTCATACCATAGACTTGGACTTAGTAAAGTCAAGTGAGGTCACTTTATTTAAGAAGCACATTTAAACCAACCGGAACTGACTTAAAGTGATTCGCTGTCAATATATATGATATAGAACTGGCTTCAACTGAAGTAATAATACAGTAAAGAGAGCTAATATAAAAACGATGACAAAAAAAATCTGTAATGGTTAAATTTTAATGTAATGAATAAAATAGAAAATAAAAAGGAAATCAGTAAAATCAACAGGATATGAACATTAAAGACAACTCTAAACATAAGCAGTGACATGGACCTTGTCAAAGATAATGAACCCCCCAAAAAAATGATAAAAAAGGATCTTAAAATGTATTTAATTTAAAAGTTCTTAATGTGAAGGAGGGAGGCTATTCTGATGAATAGAATTCAAATAAGCAATAAAATATTCCTCAGTGTTTGGTCTTTAGACAGCCAACAGAGTACATGATAAATAGGCCAAAATAGCACAAAGATACAGTTTCAAAATCAAAGTATTCTAACTGTTAAGTATTGTTAGTTACTCCAGTTTGCATTAGCAGTTGTTAAATACCTGTGAAAGTCTAGGATCTTTATCTCACACCCTCTCAGGGTTAGTGGAAAGGTCAAGAGGGTCTGATCTTTAGTCGTCACAACACACTTCAGCTCTGTCACATGACTTTGAGGACCACACCAGATAACTGAGATTCTATAGGCAGGCACCACAGTCATTGTGCATCTATTTGTTAGGAGGTTAAATAAAGCGGACTTTTATCTTAAGTTGGGGATATTACCAGTGTCTGAGACTGCTCAATTTAAGAAAGAGAGGGGAAGTGCTCTGGCAGCAGACGCCATTAAAGACCTTGTGTGGGGTTGAATCTTACTTATTCAGAGATATGCATATTTGTATTTTTAATGAGTGATGAAAATCCACCAACCTGTAATCAAATGTCCAGAGCAAAGTTAGATTTATTTAATGATTTGGCGTTTTCATATGTTTAACGCTGCAACGTTGAAGTTGAGGGTATTGTCCTGAAATGTACTTGTGGATTAGATTTAAGTCCGCTATGCTAGAGTATCCTAAAGAAATTCGCTGTTTGCTGTGATTACACTGTGAAGAGTAGCATTGGAGAAATTTACCTAAAAATCTATAGCTATGAAAGTTGGCTCTACGGGAGCAAGATGAGAACAGAAAGGAAAGAAAGAAAATGAGTTGGACAGTGTTTTTTCATCTACAGTAGTGCTACAGCCATGTAGAAGTAATTGCTAAAGGTCAAAAGAGGCTGTGTTTTACCAACACATTTGTGTTTATCATTCAGGCCAGATCAATACAATATTGTTGTTTTTAAAGAACAAAAGCCAGAGGAGACTTAACACTGACCTTTGCTTCCATTTCCCATTGTGTTCAGGAGGTCCAACAAAACATACAAATGAGGCCCTCAGGTTCCTCTGGACTTAAAAGGTTTTCTCAAAGTGCTGGGTGGGTGTTTAGCTGTTAAAGTGGGAAATCTTTTTTTTTTTCTGGTACAATAAATCTCCTTTAAAAAAGACTTTGGAGAAATCCGATGCAGTTTTCTCTGGAGTGCTGGACTATTGTTAGTTTCACACCAGCAAAGTTAGAAACATCCTTAAAAGATAA